GCCCCACCTGCTCCTCTCCCTCCCCTCTCACCAGCCAGGGGGGTCCGGGCCTCACCTGCTCCTCTCCCTCCCCTCTCACCAGCCGGGGGGTCCGGGCTGCACCCGCTCCTTTCCCTCCCCCACCCCACCAGGGGGGTCTGGGCCGCACCTGCTCCTCCTTGGTGTCATACTGCTTCAGCTGGTTCATGAACTCCAGGTGTTTCTTCTCCTCCTCCAGCTGCGCCACCATCTCCTCGCTCTGCTGCAGCCGCAGCTGGGTCCCCGCCAGCTCCTCCCGCAGCCAGAGGTTCTCCTGGCAGAGCCTCTTTACCTGCGCCCGCAGCTTCTGCTTCTCGGCCTCCAGCGCCCCGATGTGGGACGACAGCGCGATCATCATCTGGGCAGGGCACGGCACAGCTCAGCAGGGAAACCCCCTGCCTGCCGCGCTGGCCACCGCACAGCACAGCCCCACCCCCCAGGAGAGGCTGGGAGCTCCCCACAGCCAACCTCCTGCCCCACAGCCCAGAGCGCCCACTGCTGGGCGAGAATGGGATGGCTGGGAGATCCCCACACAGCCAGCGCCTCTGCCTCGCTCCCCACAGCGCCCCCTGCTGGGAGAAGCCGGGACTGGGATAGCCGGGAGCTCCCCCCCGCAACCAGCGCCTCTGCCTCGCTCCCCACAGTGCCCCCTGCTGGGAGAGAATGGGATGGCTGGGAGCTCCCCCCACAGCCAGCGCCTCTGCCTCACTCCCCACAGTGCCCCCTGCTGGGAGAGAATGGGATGGCTGGGAGCTCCCCCCACAGCCAGCGCCTCTGCCTCACTCCCCACAGTGCCCCCTGCTGGGAGAGAATGGGATGGCTGGGAGCTCCCCCCACAGCCAGCACCTCTGCCTTGCTCCCCACAGCGCCCCCTGCTGGGAGAAGCCGGGACTGGGATAGCCGGGAGCTCCCCCCACAGCCAGCACCTCTGCCTCACTCCCCACAGCGCCCCCTGCTGGGAGAGGCCAGGGCTGGCATTGCTGGGAGCTCCCCATACAGCCACCGCCCTGCTCCACCCCCCACAGCACCCTCTGCTGGGAGAAGCTGGAACTGGAGTAGCTAGGTGCTCCCCCCACAGCTAGTACCACTACCCTGCCCCCCCAACACCCCCTGCTGGGAAAGGTGGGGCTGGAGCAGCCCCCCAGAGCCAGTGCTCCTGTTGCCAGATGCCCTTCCCTTGTTGGCAGCCCCTCTGCCGCACTGGGGCGCTGGCACAGCACAGCCGGTACCTTTGCCTCGCCAAGCCCCAGCTCAATCCCCTCCAGGGACTTGCGGACGAGGTCGTACTTCTCCTCCAGGAGCTGCAGGGCCTGGCCCCCCGGCGGCTCCTCCTGCCCATGGCCCTGGATCAGGGCCTCCTGCAGCCGCTGTGAGATGCCCCTGTTCTCGCTCCGCAGCGCCTCCAGCCCCTTCACCACCTGGCGCGTGCCAGCGATGATGTCATCTGCCGTCATCCTCCCCGGCTGGCTCTCGCCGACCTCCACCATCAGGGACATGGCACAGCTCAGCCTGCAGGGAGAGGGCACCCTGAGCGCTGGCATCCTCCGCCCCCAGCCCAGGTGGCTCCTGAGCCCATCTCCCTGGAGCCGGGCAGGGCGGCACCACGCACCCCTCAGCCCTGGAGCTGGCAGCCCTGCTGGTGATGCTGCGGGTGGGCAACCTGCCCAAAGGGGGACATCCATGGCCGGGACAGGGAGTGAGCCCTTGTCCTTCCAAGTGTGGACCTGGGGCTGACCTGGCTGTGCAGGGACAGGCACTTCCAAGGTGACCCATGTCTCCAGGGAGGCTACCCGGGGGGGCTGACATAGGGGGCTGACGCAGTGGCACTGGGGGCAGCACGGAAGGCCGGACAGGGGAGCACGAGGGAGGAGTCCGAGCTGCAAAGGAGCAGACATGTTCCCGACTCTCAGTCTTGGCTGGTGGCCGTAGGGACCACGACTCGCCACCGCCGATGCCCAAAGGCTTGGGGTGACTTGGGGCGAGCCCAAGCAGGGCTGGGCCCAGAGCTGCAAAGGGGTGAAAGGGCCCCAGCTTGCTCACCGCTTGGGGAGGGAGGGGTGCACGTTAGGTGCCGCGTTCCTCCCCGCCCCAAGAACCAGTCCCGCCAGCCTGCACTAACCGGCCCGGCCGGCAGCACGGCGGGCGTGGCGCAGTCACCAAACAACACGCCCGGGCAGGGCACAGGTGTGAGCAGCACACCCCACCTGTGCACAAGCACAAGATGCACCCCACACGCCAGCCACTGGGCACACAAACACGGCACACACATGCCCAGCCACAGCCTGGCACGTGCCCGTGTCACCCCCGGCACAGGTGAGTGCCAAGGTGACACGCACTGCGTCCCCCTGCATGTATAGAAGTACAACACGCACCACGTGCCCCAGCCACGGGGCACACACACACACACAGAGTCCATGCACACTCAGGGTGCTTGCACAGATGCACGGGGTCCGTGCACGCACACGGTCACACACAGGGGAGGTTGCTGCGCACACTCACGCACCAGTCACAGCAGGGCACAGACACACGTTGCCTGCGTGCCCGCCCCGCACGGCTGCACGCTGGAAGCACGGACACGCGTGGCGCCCACGGCCCCCTCCCCGTCCTGCGCTCGGCCAGCCGCGGGGACTCCGACCGGCGCCGCCGGGTCCCGGGGCCGCCTCTGCACCGCGCCCCGCCCCGGCCGGGCCCCACCCGCCAGGCGCGTCCCCGGAGCCCAGCGCCGCCGAGCCCCCAGCCCCGCCGGGACCCACCTGCCAGCCGGGCCGGAGCATCCGCCGCCTGCGCCGCGCCCGGAGCCGCTGCCCTGCCCCGGCTCATCGCTCACCTGCCGCTGCCATGGGCGGCACCCACAATGCACCGGGCTCCACCCCCTCCCTGGGCCATCTGGGCGGGGCGGCCCCCCCCCC